TAGAAACCGTATTGTTTTATTGTCACATTCAGGTCTAGAATCAATCTCGAAATAATTTTTGTGTATATAGTGGCTAAGATGTGTTTTTCTATGTGGATATCCAATTGATTCAGCAGCATATAAAGAAAAGACAATTCTTTCATTATCACACTGCCATTGTAATTTTGCTTTAATCAGGTTACTGTACATGTGTACATTTTTTTCTCAATCTGTTTTCTTCTGTTTGTATATCATGCACCAATACAGCATTGTCTTAATTATTGTAGCTTAAAAATATCGGTCTGGTATTTTAAAAATATTTCTTTGGATATTTCAGGTCTTATGCATTTCTTTATGTTTTGGAATCAGTTTGCCAATTTCCACAAAAAAAATATTCTGGACTTTTTAATAAGATTGCATGGATTGTGGGCGGAAAAGACATCTTAAGAAGAATGAGTCTTCCATTCGGTGAGTATGGCGTTTTATTGTAAATTGAAAAGTGATGTTTAAATTCCCCAATTGTTATTAGTTTATACATATATGATGTATTTTATACATTTACCAGTGACCTTATTAAATTCCATTATTTTTTCTAGCAGTTTTTTTGATTTTTGCACGAATGATTACTATATCGCAAATAATGAGAGCTTTCTCCTAACTGTAAAGACTATATTTTTAATTTTTTTCTTACTTATTGCACTACCTAAAAGCTTTAATATAACATTAAATAGAAGAGCTAGTAGTGGACATCCTCATATTGTTTCCAGTTGCGGGAGGAAACTCTCCAGTGTTTTACCATTATGTTGGGTGATAGCTGTAGGTTGACACTGTTATATATCCTTTATTAGATGAAGGAAGATACCATCTATTCCAAATTACCTGAGTGCTTTTTTAAATAAATGGATGTTGGATTTTCCTGCATTTATGGAGTTAATCATAAGATTTTTCTACTTTATTTGATAAGGGTGGTGACGTATATTGATTGATGTCCCAACGTTTAACCAATCTTGCATTCCTGGAATAAACCTCATTTGTATTATCTTGTTTAGGATTTTGGCAGCTGTGTTCATGAAAGAATTTGGCCTTGGTTTTCTTTTCTTGCAAAGTTGTTGAGATTTTGAAATCAGGGTTATCTTGGTCTCATAACATAACTTGAAAATTTTTCCCTTCTTTCTCTATTTTCTGTAATTGTTTATGAAAGATAAATATTATGCAGATTATTTCATCCCTGAATATTTGTAAGAATTCACTGGTGAAACTTTGTAGGCTTGAAGCTTTGTGTCTGTGTCTGGGAAGTTTTTGTATATGTGGAAAGCTTTATTGTGGGTTCAATTTCTTTAACAAACATAAACTATTTAAATTTTCTGTTTATCCTTACGCAAGTTGTAATTTCAAGAATTTGTCTTTCATTTAAATGTTCAAACATATTACCTTAAACATATTCATATACTATTTTGTTATCGAGATACAGTTCACACCCCATAAGTTCACCATTGTCAAGTGTACAATTCAGTGGTTTTTGGTACGTTTACAAATTTGTGCAACCATGACCACTGTCAATTATAGAACATTTCCTAGCTCTAAAAGAAACCCTGTACTTGTTACCAGTACTTTCTATTCTCCCTACTCCCAGCCCAGGGCAACCAGTTTCTATAGATTTGCCTCTTATGGACATTTCACATATATGGAATCATATACTTTGTGACGTTTTGTGTCTGGCTTCTTTCACTTAGTGTAATGTTTTCAAGGTTGATTTATGTTATAGCACGTATCAGTATTTTATTTCTTGTTCTTGCTTATTGGTATTCCATTGTACTGATACTCTACATTTTGTTTATTCATTCATCAGTTGATGGACACTTAAGTTGTTTCCACTTTTGGGTTATGAATGCTGTTGCTGTGAATACTTGTATAGAAATTTTTGTGTACATATGTGTTTTCAACTCTCTACATAACAAAGACTAGAATTACTAGGTAATGGTAACATTCTAAGGTCAATATTTTGGGGAACTATCAAACTACTTTCCAAGGCAGCTGCACCAGCTTTGAATATATGAAGTTTCCAATTTCTCCGCATTCTCTCCAGCACTTGTTATTTTCTTTTTTTTTAAGCCATTCTAGTGTTTGTAAAGTGGTATCTCATTATGACTTTGATTTGCATTTCTTTACTGACTAGTAATGCTAAGCATCGTAATGTGTTCTTATTGTATTTTTAATAATGTAGTGAGGTTGCATGTATTATGTCTCAGATGAGGAATTTATGTTTTTCCTTTTCTTGTCTATTATTGGTCTTGCTAGAGTGTTACTAGTTTTTTTTTTAATATTTTCAAAGCAAACATATTCATTTAGCTTTGTCAATTTTCTCTGTTATATATGTGCATTCTCGTTCATTATTTCCTGCATTCTCTTATTTCTTTGGGTTCAACTTACTGTGTTTTATAGCTTCTTAAAATGGAAATGTAGATCTTTTATTTTCAACCTTTCTGATATTCTAATATGTGCACTAAAGCTCAAATTCCCCTCTGAAGAAAATCAGCTTTAGCCGCATCCCTTCAACATTCACATGCTGTATTTTCATTATTTAGTCAAAAATATTTTCTAAATTTTATTCTGATTTTGTTTTTGACCCATTGGTTATCTGGAAGTTGGTTGCTTAACCCAAATGTTTACAAATTGTCTGTTTATTTTTCTGTTTTTGAATTCTAGCTTATTTTCATCTTACCAGAGAATATATTCCATATTATTCAATCCCTGTAAATTTGTTCAGCCTTAAAATAAATGTAAAATATAAAGAAGTTTCAAAAATATCTTGAAATTAATGGTCAAATCTTATTATTTCAAGAGTCTGATTTAAAGAGAAATTTTCTGATTTTTATTCTTTATCTCTTTCATATATATTTAAATAAAAAATATTGCTTAGAAATATAACCATGCAGAAAACTGCACATGCACTCTGTATATATGGGTATGTATAGTACCATTCTATAACAAGCCCTAAAAGCTATTTTGTTCCTATCACTTGAGCAAATTAGAATTATTGAAACGATGAATGAAGATTATTCTCATTAAGCAATGTAACAAACACACTTGACCTTTGGAAACTGAATGACAGTTCTTCCTATATGATCTATCACTGCTGCAAACTGTCTCTGAGCTTCCCAGAGTCAAACATTGATACCACATTGGTACATAGACTCCTAATTTGCACTTCAAAATTCAGTTTTATTTATAGCTATATTTCCTGATACACATTGGCTCACAAAATGTGTCCTCAGGCTCTTTGAAGTTCTGTCTTACCAATTTTGTCAGCAACTGTTCTACTTTTAGAATAAGAAGAAATGCATTCATTACTTTCACATTTTTGTTTTTACATCTACACAAGCAATGGTTCAAGCTGTAAAACACCATCCAGTACTGTCACTGACAATATATCACGACTTCAGATAGCACAGAGCAATGAAAAGAGTACAGGTAAAAGAGAAAGGCCACCCACACTCACTCGTTCTTACAACCCTGAACAAGTTAATCAACACTAATTCTCAGTTTCATTTGAATAAAACTGTATTTCAAGTCGATAGAGTCTTCAAAGGAACAACTTAAGTACTTAATAGGTTGTCTTTCACATGAATAGTGCTCACAAAACAGTAATTACTTCCTTCCAATACATTCTGACCTCTTTTTCACATTATCTTGTGTTCATTGATAGCTAAAATGTACCCCAGTAGGGTAAGCACTATTTAGAACCACGTTCTGCCTTTCAGGTTAGGGTAGGTTACGCTATAGTAACAAAAGACACCAAAATCTCAAAGCTTAGAAATAATAAAGATTATTTCTCTTACTGCAAGTTCAACATAGATCTGCAGAGGGCCTTTTGTTTACTATGTACATCTAATATTGATATAAATATAATCTCATCATGTGTTCAGAAGGAAAGTAGATCTGAAATATTTGTAGCAGCCCTGCTGACTAGTACAGATCCCTCACCACCTGTATCTCAGCTTTGTTGAAAGTGAAGGGGCTCAGAATGGGCCTCCCAAAATATGCCACTCTGGCATGAAGGTTATGTTGAGCTGAAAACAGTTAAGGCCCAGAAGACTCAGGAAGAACTTTTTACCTCCACCTTCACTACCTAGAAGAATTTAGACAGGGAACGTGGCTCGGAGAGCAATTACTAGAGATAACTTTGATCTGAATGACCTAACTGTATGGCAGGGGAAACATCTAATTACCAAACACTTTTTTATTGTCCTGGAAATGACCCTTCTCCCCTTTAAAGCTCCAAGCCTCTATCCCATTCCTTAGGTCAAGATGGCATATGAGTCTCAATTACTCCGCTTGTCTTTGGGTCTCATGTCTTTGGGGCTCTCAAACAGACATCATAAATTTGTTTTTTCTATTAATCTGGTTTATGTCAATTTAATTATTAGACCAGCCAAAGAACCCAAAAGGGTAAAGGAAAATGTTTTCGTTCCCTACAAAAATACCCAGAAGCATACCATACATAACCACAAGTATGCCTAAATGGAAAAGACCAACAACAACAAATGTTGGAAAGGGTTTGAAACAACCAGAATTCTCCTACTTTGTGCTGATGGGAGTATGAGTATGTAAATGGCACAGCCACTTTGGAAAATTGTTTGGCAACTGATTTAAAAGTTAGATACACATCTTCCCTTTGACCCTGCAGTTCCAATCTGAGAGAGTTGAAAGCATATGTCCACAAAAATCCTTGAACAAGAATGTTCAGTCAGATTTATTCATAATAATTAACATCAGCCTAAATGTCCATCAACAGAAGAATGGATAAACAAACTGTTGTAGATTCAAAAAATGAATACTATTCACAATAAAAAGGAACAAACCACTGATACATCCAGCATCATGGATGAATATCAAAATATTGTGCTGAGTGGAAGAAGCCAGAAACAAAGAACACTCTGTAGACTCCATGCGTATACAGTCCTGCAATAGGCAAAACTAACTTATTATGATACCAGTCCAATCAGTACATACCTCTGGCTTCAAGTGCGGTAGAAACAAACAGCAAAGAGCACAAAGAAACTTTTTTTGGTTAATGAAAATGTTCCATGCCTTGAGTGAATGTATATATATTTGTCAAAACAATTTGAACCATTCACTTAATATTTGAGCATTCTACTCTGTTTATAATACCTTGACTTTTTGAAAATTCAAAAGTATTCAGAGGATGTTTCAGTCACACAACTTTTAAGTTTATTTGACAAATCTAATACTATTCATTAGTCATTTTGAGACATTTGATTTGACTCAGATTTTTAAAGTAATGTTTTACTAAGAAGCTTTGGGACACAACTGCACTTTAACAAACTGAAAATTAGTGAAAACATCAACATTACTCTGAAAATATTCCAAGACAGTAAAATTCAACACATTTTAGACTACTCTGGATGTCTGTTCAGATTTTTTAAATGAGAAAACCGTATTGAAATCAAAGCATTAAATCACCTAGGTGCTGACATCTGGTGGAGCATTTCCATCGTTTATTTCATCAATTATACTGCTATTTAACTATTTATTATCATCACTTAGGATAAAGTTTGAGCTTTGGAGGAAGACAGACATACCATCTACTAGCTGTTGAGTAAGATACCTAATTACTCAGTTTTTTTCCTCATTTGCTAAACAACATAAAAAGCATCTAAAATAGTGCCTGGCACATGATAGAAACTTAATAAATGTCAGTTTTATTCTTGTACACAAAGCATCTTCATAGATGTGTTCCCCTCCTCCTCCTCCTCTTCCTCCCTTTTCTTCTGGCTCTTCCTTTTCCTTTTCCCCTTCATCATTCTCTTCTCATTTCCTTGCTTCTTCCTCTTTCTTCTTTTCCCAAACCTTTTGTAATATATGCCCATGACAAGTAGGGAGAAAATGAGAGAAAGCCTTATGTATGAGATTTTTTAAAACTGTCTTTTCTAGTTGTTTTCAGATCTGTTACCTAATGTATTTTATTTTAGCATTAAAAATAACAACAAATGTGAAAATCAAGAAAAATCTACTTCTATTGCATAAGTCAACTCTAAATAATTTTTAAGCTTATAAATTTAAGTCTAAAAGATTTTTGGTCAGATAGAGTTTGAGTCTTCTGTAAATACGTGGGAATTCTGGATATTAACTTGATTGGGGAAAGAACAGGTAAAGAATCTCTGGGCAGCTGTAGGCACTGCTACTGGGAAAACTTGGTTGCCCCAGCCCATCAAATCTAACCTAATAAATGCATGTTCTCATTTCTCCAGAGCAAATGGGAAGATCAAGTCCTTGTGCATATGCCCATGGCAACTTTCTTCTTTACTCAGTGTTCTTTCAAGCTGTTTGATCTGAAGAAAATTATATCTAGAACTTCATCAGTTCTATATGTTTTTATACATACCTCAATTTGGGTTTTTGTGTTTTTTTTTTTTCTGATGTGCCTCATAATGAGAGCCAGATTTGGCATTTTGGGGAGGAATTTGGTAGAAGAGATGCTACCTTTTCATCATATGGTTTTGAATTTTCTTATTATTGGAATTGTTAACTTTGATCACTTAGTTAAGGGGGATCCTGCCAGTTGTTTTTGTTTCTGTTTTTTGTTCACTGTATGGTGGCTCTTTTATCATTAATTAGTTCTTGTGAGGAAATACCTTGAGATGTAACTATTCTTTGCTTCATCAAACTCACCCATAGTTTTAGCATCCATTGGTATTTCTTGGCTGAATTAATAATTATTAGGATTGCTGTTTAATTATGATTTTTCTATTATTTTTAATTGGGATTTCTATTATATCTTCTGCACTTATTACTTGACATTATATGAAAGAAAACCTTTCCTTTCTTACTTACTTATTTATTTATTGTTAGTATGGAGTCATGGATTCTTACTTTTGTTCCATTGATTATAACACATTATTATCAATCTTGTTTGAAAGCTGTCCTAAATTTTGTCAGCAGGAACCTCTGGAAGCTGACTCCTACATCCTTTTGACATAACACTATCATTCTTTGAGACTTCCTTACTTTCTGGAACAAAATAATCTTCCAGGCTCACCTTGTGCTTTTCCTTCTCCAATCCCAGAAACAGCCATTTATTTTCTCAAGGAGTTCCAGTTTCTTTAATGAACAGTCTTTGTAGAAACCAGCATGGGAGTCATAGGTATGCTTATTATTATTGGGGTGTTGTTACGCTCGGATAGAGCTGGGGAACATGGATTGTTTATGTACATACATTTATAACCATATTCACTTACACCTTAAGAACCATCAGTTTGAACGCCATTTGAACCCCAAACCACAGGTTTTATATAATGTTTTCATTTTCTGTATTTGCAACTCCCATCTCTGACATGGCTCTCGTTATCCTTAATTTATTTCTGCTTCAGTTCCCCCTGTATATAACAGATGTCCCAATGTTACCACTGCCCTTTGTCCCCAACGCCTCTCCTCCCTCCCTTAGATTCTGACACCTCACGCAGAGTCCCTGCAAGCACTGCTTCCCTCCTCTGCCGATGCTCTTCTCATCCTGCTCTGACTCCCAACAGCCTTCACCAGGCCAAGGCTGCCAGCACCCGCAAGGCACCCGCCTCTCACTGCTCATGCTCTGCCACCCCACTCTGGTAGGAGGATGCCCTTATTCAAAAGCCAAATCTAAGGGATTCCAAAGCACTTATATTAGTCCAAGTCCTCCAAGAAGCAGATGCCAAGATTGGATTAATATATAAGGATTTTATTCAAGGAAATTTCTGGATGAGAGAAAATAGGAAGGTAGCCAGACAAGCATGGGAGAACCTTGAAAGTACAAACAAGCCTGACACCAAGGGGAGAGAATAAGATGAGAATGCTTGAGTGAAAGTGCCTAAGGAGAGTTTGGCAAATCCATCAAGGGTCCTCCACCCAAAGCAGACTATGAAGCAGTCCTGTGACTCACAGAAATCTTTTTACTTCAGTGTCCATCCCTGCCATGCTCCGTCAGTGGGTGCAAAGAACCCATGGGAAGTGTGGGATGAGCACAAAGGAAGGGATGGATTTCAGAGCCCAGAAGCTCTGCAATCACGCTGCAGTTTGAGAAGCATGACCTGCATTTTCATGGAGAACACTTAGATCATTTTTCCCTTTATTTAAAACACAAATCAGAGCAACAGCAAAAACAAACTCTTATCTATACCAATGAAAAGACATTGTTTACCAAATCATTGGGCCTTTATTTTTCCTTCACTAATTCAGAAATAAAGGCAGCACTGATACAGCAAAAAAGATGGAGTGCAAGAGGATGGCCATGTCCCAGGTCTCAGATGATTCCCTGGGATGCACCCCACCCAGTGAGGGTCCTTGGCTTTGCACAGGAAAGAATTCAAGACTCAGCCATAATTGAGTAAAAATTATTTACTCAGAGAGACACACACTCCACAGACAGACTCCAAATAAGCCATCTCACAAGGCCAAAGAGCCCATGAGACGTGGGGAGGGGGGAGGTGGTTAAAGCAAGAGTAGATATATTTTCCAGAGTGTGCACTGTCTCAAAAGGTAAGAGAATGGCTAGGAGATGCACACTCCATAGGTAGAATGTGGGTCATCTTACTCAGAAGGGAGAGTGGCAGCTTCAGAGTATGGGGTTTACTAGGAAAAATAAGACTAGTGTGGGGGTTGTTAATTTTTATGGTCTCAGTAAGTTCATATGCTAACAAGTGGGAGGATTATTTCAACTACGTTGGGGAAGGGGCTAGGATTCCCCAGAATTGGGCCATCACCCTCTCTTTGACCTTTTATGGTCAGCCTTGGAACTGTCAATGGCACTTATGGGAGTACCATTTAGCAGCTATTGTATTTTAATGAGCATATATTGAAGCTTAAAGTCTAATGGGAGATGAATTTCCACCATCTTGGTGGTAGTTGCTGTGTCATTCTTTTAACAGTTGTGCCCTGCCCCCTTCCCTCCTGTCTCACACCTCATAAGTTAAACCTTTTTTAATACAAAGAAGATTTTTGCGAGTATGTCTTTTAGGGACTTTCTGAAGAAGAGTTGTTACTGCATGAGTAGTTTTTAGTTATCATATCACTGGCACTGGACTGGTATTATGAGACAATGCTGAACATAGTAAATGAACACTTTTTTGGGGAAGTATAATTCTTAAATGTGGCCCATAGCATTTTAGAACTTGGATTTTTTATTTAGTATGTTTGTGTTTTTTTTTAATGTTGTGTCAAACTTTCTCAAATAAACAAAGAGTAGGCAGACTGTTTACATTTTGGAAAATGTAAGATAAAAAAGAGGGTATCATGTCAATAAAGAACAATTTTATATTATACCATTTTATTGAGCAGTTATAAGGCATAAATCTGGGCCTTAGAGCTAGAACTTACCATTTCCTTCTCTCCTGAAAATTACCTCTGCATTTAATCCTCACATTTTAACATCAGTTTGCATGGAGGCCATATGTTTAAACTTCATAAGCTCAGCTTAAATTTGGCATAGTTCTGAAAAGCCCTGTGGTCCCTAAACACACAAAAATATTATACAGGAAAGATAGCAAGAAATCGTAGATATAGATATAAAACTATATGCCTACGGCAAACAGATAAAGATATGAAAATCTTAAACACTTGTAATGATTTTCCAATGAAAGCTTTGAAATCTAATTTTCCCATATATCCCTAAAATTTAAGATATGCCTAAAAAAGTGAGAGAAATTCACAGAAGGAAAGAATTTGAGAAGAAAACCCAAGACCCAAGCACATTAATATGATAAAGAAGCAAAACTATTTTAAAAAATAATTATGATTTATAATCATTCAACATTTTACATATATTTGTGGAATGCCTAGAACGTGGTAGATATTATCCTTATGTGTTCAAAATGTGTTGTTCAAACGGGCATTTCTAATCACATATATTTGTTAAGCACTTAAAATGGGGTTACTTCAAACCAAAGATATTCTCTGAGTGCAAAATACACACCAGATTTCTGAGACTTAGGATGGAAAAAATGGAAGCAAAATATTTCATTAATAATTTTATACTTTTTCTGTGTCAAAGTGATTATATTTTGGATATACTGAATTAAATAAAATGTTTTAATAATATTAATTTAACTTCATACTTTTTAATGTAGATACTAGATAACTTAAAATTACATATGTAAATCCCATTATATTTTTATTAGAAAAAATGTGATACCTACTGCTGTAGTAGATATTCATGATGTTTCCTAAATAAATCATTCTTTCCATCCATTTTGGTGTCTGGTAGGATGGTACTACCTCAGGTTAAGAGTAGCCAAGAGACTTCCTTTAACTGAAGAATTATGAGGAGAAGAAAGTGTCACTTCCCAGAAGAGGCTTTAAGAGTCGGTGTGTATTTCACTTCCCAGCTGTAGCAACCACAGAAACAGATGCTGTAAAAAGTCTTCCTTCTTCCTGGCTGCCCTGTTGTAGGCATGTACTTTGAGTCAGATAAAAACGTTTAATGTTTTAAGCCATGGAAGTTCAGAGTTGCAGCATAACTTGGAGTCCCGTATTTCCCAATCTTCACTATACATCAGAATCACCTGGAGGTTTTGTTAAAACACAGACCACATGTCCAGTGAGTTCCCAGATGATGCTAATGCTACCAGTCTGGTGTCCACATTATGAAAACCACTGGCCTAGCCAATCCTGAATGGTAGGTGCTATGAATAGGAAAAAAGGAAAGGAAAGGAAGGGAAGGGAAGGGAAGAGGGGGGAAGGGAGGGGAGTGGAGGGGAGTGGAGGGGAGGGAAGGGAAGGAAGAAAGAAAAGAGTGCTTTGAAACGTGGGGTTGAGTCATAGTTTAAAGAACTCCTACATAATTGTTGATAACAATTCCAACATTATTGCTTACCCAAATA